TGTGGGTCATTAATTCTTATTATGAGCATACATAAAGCACATTTTAAAAGTTTATACATTGCTAACTTTGAAATACATGATTCATTTAGGCCCACTATAGTTTTAAACAAGCTACAGAAAATACTGTTTATTTCATATACAGTCAAGATTAACCCTCAGTTGCTTAAAATACTGTAGGAAGAACAACAGGTGTTAACATTCTTTTACTCTATTTTGTCACTCCCCTGGCCTCATAAGGATTGGTTCACACGAATCGTTTGGTGAGAATGAACTTCACGAATCAGTGAAAAAGGAGGAATTTGTATAAACAATGTCACATGGCCTGGGCTCAAACATCCGATGCCTGGATTGTAGATCTTAGTTTACACCCACAGTGGGTGAATTTGCTGGTGGTCCCACTCAGGAGCTCCACTGTCATTCTTCTTCTTTAAATCAATTAATATTCACAGTCAAAGATGCCTGCTTCAGTGTTTTAACTTCATGCTGCTATTGCAGCAACTTATCAACATGACTGTCAACTCCACTGAGGCACCAACTCCACTTGTAAGCACTATCATTCCTCATAATCATGTTGTTCCTCAAAATGATTTCAATTCCAGCAGGAAAGAAATTCAAACAAACTAGACAGACAATGAGTGTCACAATGTTTCTCATGATTCTTAATAATTCACAGATTATTTTCATAGCCTTTTACTCATTGTACCTTAACACAGTAATATAGACTTAATATCTTGACCACTTCAGGATGCTCACAACATAGACAATTTGCTGTAACAAAATGAAAGCAAAGAGCAGTATGATATGATTTAAATGACAAAGTATTTTGAGGGTGCATAAAAGTGGGTAACAAGCTCAGTTAAGTGAAAATAACAAACTAATACATCTCTGAGGTCAAACTGTCCTGCCCTAAAACTCAAAGGCTAAAGCTGTTACCATGGTGACATTTAGAATACAGCACAAGATATCGCTATCACCACATAATGTCTGGTTGATGATCAAATAATTCTTGTTTTAATTAAGCAATTATGAAGTACTACAGGATCTACATTTTATATAAAGGTTCTATTGGAGGTAATCTGTTTCTCTGAAGCAAGTGAACCCCATGGGTGTCAGGACAGGTGCTGTTGCTTTGAACTTCTAGGGTCCTGGGTTGAATTTCAGCCTCATACATGTATGCCTGGAAGACATTTCAAGTTTTACCCATATTTACATGATGCCTTTTTCCCAGTGCTCTGGTTTCTTTCCATCTCTGTAAAACACTACATATTGTCCATTTCTCCATTATACTTCATTGGACTACCATCCTGTATAGAAGGAGAGCAAATGTACTGCATATTCTCACTGTGCTGCTGGGATAGATTCCAGCTTTCTATGATCCTCATCACAATAAATGGCTTACTGATAATAGTTGTCTTCATAGAATGTTGGTACAATTGAGAAGATGCCTAATATTTCTTACTTATTGCCTAGAAGTATAAGTACCTGTTTGTACTTTTAAAGCTAAACTATTGTCATTGTAATTATTAACAAGTTATTATTTATTGACCACAAAGTGTAGCATGATAATTTTTCCAACAGAACCATAAGATACTGTATATCATTACAAAAATGTATATACTGTAGTTAAAAACAAACAAATAAGCTTACTTTGTAATTAGCTAACTGAATTCTGAATCTTTTTTTCTGGGGCCTTAGATGAATTGTTTAATCCTGTGCAGCCTTTTCATGTATGGAAGCCTCGCAACAATACCTTCTTTCTAGGGACACAATAAAATGATAAAACGAAAGCCTCTGAGATTATGCAACACCTGCTGAACACTGGATTTTCAGTAAAAGCTGTCTTCCAAAAGAGTCTACGGGCAAATATCATTAACTGCTCTGCAAATACTCTTTGCCAGCTATCAGTCTGAGCCAATATACAAGGGACTGCACTGCCCTGCCAAAATGAACTGCATTTTTGTATTAAATCTCAGAGGCTTTCTGACTCTGAATTGGAATTGTTCGTTTCACCTGGCCTTCTGTTCAGTCAAACATAAGCTTGTGCAGAGGCTCCAGGCAAGACTTGTGCATAGAAGATAAGATTCTCTCTTGGACTCCTTGCTCCCACTGCTGTTGCTATTTTGCCTCCTGCACACACTTAGACTATTAATAGCTATACAGTACATACAGACACGGTAAGTCCCCCAGCCAACAGAAAAAAGGCAGAACAATTGATAAATTATTGAATTTGAAGTAATAGACCATAGGACAGCTCTTGCTTTTCTGTTGTACCTTCATGTTTACTAAATACTTTTTGCAAATACATATTGGAAAAACAGAAAGACAAGTACCAAATGCTGCTGTTTTCAACCAAGGTTATCAATAACATCAATATGATTCTAATGAAGATTAACATGTAAATGTACATGTTAATTTAATTGAAAGTATATCCCAATTTCAAAACAAGTTAAAAACAGATGAAAAAGAGGTATAATATTTTTATAGTTTTCAGAAGTTCACATTTGTATTGCAAATAAAATGCAATACAAATAATCATTCTCTTGTTTTATTTATATATATTTAAGGTTTTGATAATAACTGGATTGATATCAGTATAAACTATATTAATATGTGCATTAAATCATAAAGTGATAGTGTGGAGGTACTGTGACACAGGACAGACAAGTTCTTGACATTTCCCAACTTTGTTCTCCCTTTTTAGTGGTTAGAAAATCAAACAAAAGAGTCATGCACAAGAGCATTCAAGATGCTTATTGCAGCCTCTGTAGTCACCTTGGGTTTCATCGCAGTGCACAGCATGTTAACCCACTGGCCAACCCTAATCTAAACCTTACCCACTTCTCTCACAACACACAGAATATGAATGTCCAGAATGCTTGCTTATATATAATAAGGGGTACTTAATTTAAAATAAATTACATGATGTTAAAATTATACATTATAAGATCTTTTCAGATTTTTGTCACAATGCTGAAGAATACAGATTAAATACAGCATAAGGTATTATGTGGGAACCTCAGGTGTTCATTATTCTGAAAGGACATTTTCAAGATAAGCAGAAATTCAAGAATATTATATGTCGACACAAGTGGAAAATAACTGTAAGTGCATTCATTCACAAAACAACTGTGGCAGTCTGTAACCCACTTAAGTAGTCATGTTGCTGAAGTGATCCTTTAACAAAAGGCTCAGTGGATGTGGTGGACTATTAAACTAACTGTTTAATTTCAATTAGTCAAAAATAAGATGAGTCTTGGACTATATTATCTAAATTACCATTAGGTAGTCCTGCTGGGACTGTCACCAAAAATCAGTTTTTTTTTTTTTAAAGACTAGAGATTATTTAAGTGCTCGTATTTTTTATATAGATCGGATGCTACAGTATATCTTTTTAGCTTTTTCCATTTCCGTTGTAAACCCACCCAGTGTGGATTCACCAGTTGTTTCTTTGCATCTCATCTCACAGTGACACTTCCTCTTCATGCAGAAGAATGAGGGAGACATTCTCCTCCAACCTGCTCACTCATCAACAATTCTATTAAATAATATGTTGCTCCACAATGCATTAAAGGAGTGTGAACTCCTCACTGACTGACTAACTGCAGCAAATACCGGGCTACAGGTGGAACAATAGAGTTCTATGGATTACCCCATTAATCCTAGCCCATCACTCAGAAGGAATCACCCGGCTGTGCTCTGCCATTTGGGGAATCCCAGTCATAGTAAAAGCGAAGCAGTATTTTCTAAATGTGAAGTGCACTGCTTTGTTTCACATTCTTGTTATATACAGTACATTTAAAGAGGTGCATTGGAAAATTGGTGTTCTAGGTATGCACTGTATTAAAGTGATAGCTTTTCTGTAATTAGGGGAAGTAAAGCCATCAAGAACAGAAATACAGAGATGACAGGGACATAAAAAAGAAATATAAGAAAAATATTTTTCATTGACACATTCCTGTAGGCATTTAGAAATCTGAGAAATAAATCTTTAAAGAATAACATAAGGCTGAATTTAATTGATTTGGTCCTTCTGTGCATTCAGTCAAGAAAACTGCAGATATTGTACGTCTGTGTGACCACCTGTTCTACTTTTTCTTGTAGGCTACTTTATAATTTACTTATTATAGAGGCTGTAATCAAGTCTGCCAAAATTAGATGATAATTTTGACCCTGCCACTAATGTTTCTTCCTTTCTTTCCTGTTTTTACAGATGCAGAAAATGTTGTACATATGTTTTTATTCCTACTTATAAGAATAAGTATGAATAACAAAACTACATTTACCCTTAATGAAATAATGTATTTCAAAGCAGAACCATAAAACATTTTTGCATTGATGAATAATTAAGGTACGTTTTTTTTTCTTTTCTCGACAAAACTCATTGCCAGATTGTGAAGGATTCTCTTTTACAATGTATTTTATACTGTTGAAGTTGTAGAGCATAACATAAAAATGAATTCAGAAAAAGTACCTATATTATCATTTCAAGTCCTTTAAAAGGGGCTTCTAAAAACACTTCAACTGTGGTTCTTTTCTGTTGTCGTTCTTGACAGATGTACAATATAAATGGGATGATACCGGTATGCTTCACCAGGTATAATGTAAAAAAATAACATTTTATTTTGATTCTAGATTTTCATTATTTGGATCTAATATCAGTTATCAGCCAGACTGCTTAAAAATGGCCTCAGACTTTATCCAAACAAATAGAATGTAAATTATAACAAGAAGGCCTTAACTAGATATTATACTAAAATTCACAATGCAAATTTAAAACTTAAAAAGTTTGTTCTCCATGTTAATGCCTTTATCTTCTTTAAGCATATTGTTTCTTTTTGCCACATTCTTCATAGGGAGAAACCAGACTTAGGTTTACTTTAGTATCAGAATGTCTTTCAGAAAACAAGAAATGACCATACTGTCTCCGGTAAAATCCGGAACGATGTTTTTATTTGAATTTCCAACACAGCCATGGTATTTTGATATGTTGAAATCCTTACCTTTCCCCAAGGTTCATCCTGTTGTTGTCGTCTCAGGAAAGAGAACTGAAAAAAAGATAAATTTGTAATATTTAGTGACGTAATTAGAAACAAGTTTTTCTAAAGCAGATTCTAATTTTAAATGGGACAGCATTCTACATAATGGATGTTATCAAATTAATTGCTAGTGTACCTCCACAGCAACCGTAAAGTGCAGGAAATCATTTTAAATCACCATCAGCAGCAAATAAAAGAGGTCATAAGCAGAAGTGAACACCTGGCTGCAGATGATTGCGAGCAGCTGAAAAGCAGGCGCCTCGACAAGTTTGTTGGGCTCATAAAATTCATAACGGCCTTTTAAAGTGTAGGGTTCACGTTGAGGGTTTCATGATGACAATTAGAACAGCAGCACAGGACAAGCTGTAATGAACAGTGCCGTAAATACAAAACACTTGTTTCAGAAACAAAATGTGCTGATAGCAGAGGAACAGGTGTTGAAATTGCTAGGCTACAAGTCGAGACCCCTACATAGCAACAGTGACCTTCTCATGAGAAGACTAGCTCGGAGGTTTCTTTCCGTTATGAACTGAGCAGGTTATGGGACTTAATTTAACATGTACACAACAGCCACTGGATTCCCTCAATATATTAAACTTAGACTTTCATATCAGGAATGTTTGACTTCACAATTCCTGCAGAATGAGGCAGATACTGTAGGTGTACAGCCATATGGCAATATCTCACCAATTCTTGATGAGTCTCAGTGTTTATCTATACCATATGCTTATGAATGTCTCGTTCATTTTCTTGCTTACCACCCGCAACCCCTTGGATTTCTACTCATCACTTCTGCCTTTTTTTAAACGAAGATTACAAAGACAAATGGCAGCTGTTCTTTGAGCACAAACCTAGCATTTGTTTAGAATTCCCTCATCCTTGTCAGAAGCAAAGCTTGTCAACAACAAGAAAACTTCTATACGCAGTTTAATTTACAATGAACGTAAGACTAACATCAGACAAGCTAAACACAAAAGTCAGATTTCCTGTTCAATAATAACCTACAGTATATTTTATATTTAAAACCAGGGACATTCAACATACTTCATTTTTGTAAATTTATGAGACAAGAATATGGGTTCTGTATGGTAATACAGATATAACCTGAATGTGAATTTTTTTAATTATTATCATTTATAATAATATTATAATAGTTACGGTATGTGGATTATCTGAACCACAACATACTGTATTTATTGTTCCTGTTGTCTACATGGTGTTGTGTTGTCTGTTGCAATGCGTGTGTCCTGAGAGATCAGCGCGATTGAGAATTCCAATGTACAGTACGTGTACTGTACATATGGCAATAAACTTCTCTACTCATATACAGTTCTTTGAATACTAAAACTCTTTGAAGACTTTGTGTATAGCAGCTCATTTAAGATAGTTCTTCAGCACTACTTGAGAAGTTACCTAAATAGCACCTTAATCACAAAATGTACCAAATTGTTGTGATATTTATAAATGTATATACAGTATATAAGGTGATATCCATGGACCTGTCATCCAGTTGTACAGTATTTTGCATTTACTATGTTAAGAGATAAAATTGATTTGACAACCTTTACTAAGGTAGACAATCAAAAGTAAAGAATATTACTCCAAATATTGTGATATCACTTAAAATAACATTTCTTTCCATACTGGACAATTTTCATTTGTACATTTTTACATTGGTAGATACATTTCTTGATTGTACATTTATCTCATATCTTGAAACTAAAATTGCCACAGGGTGGTCAGTGAATTAAGTTTGACACTTTTTGTTTAATGTGAAGGTGCTTGAGAACTTTCTGTTCAAAGATTCTGCTTTATACAAAGATAGATCTGACCATCTAACCATGATCGAACTCACAGCTTAATATTTGAAACGATTTAAATATACATGCAAAAAGCTTTAGTGAACTGTGCATAAACTAATGATAAATAAGTAACTGTGATGCCCCTGAAAATCATGTGTATGATACAATTTTACATACTACATTCTGGATTTAGTTTTGAATTGTGAGGGTTGATATTGTACACTGACCCTCATCTGGACAATGGATATTACTTTAGTTTCAACAATGCCCATCCTAGTTCTAATGTGTTTTCAAAACAGGAAATATAAGGTTTCTTCCCTCGCTGAATCCTATGTTAAATTTAAGATAATTTGCATTATGTTTAAGTTAAGAATTGGATCATAAAAAATAAAATATTCCTCTTTAGAAATCCCTTCTTCTCATACCAAACATTTTTGCTACCTCTGACTTTCAGTCAGTATTCTACACATAAATATGCTTGAATTCTTACAAGGATTGATTCTATTGAAAACCTTTCTAGTCCTCAATCTGACACCATTTTCTTCATACAAAAAGTAAATTACTTCTTTTTTTCTCAAATTGATTAGATCATGATGAAGTGTGTTCACAATATAATGGAAATGAAATGCTCGATCATTTAAAATTGATTCAGTCTTTTAAGTTATTACATGAATTCAGATATTTTCAGTACATACAGTACCATTTTATGAGTTTTAAACCTACTGCAATTTAAGCCTTCTACTGCAACTTAGTTCAATAGAAAGCAAATTTTATATTGCTTGATGCTCATTATACATTTCTTTTTATTGATTTAATTTCATGTGCTTTTGATTAGCAATACAAAATTTAACATCTGGTGACTGATGCTGTGAAGATATTTTAATATGTATAGTGAGTCTGTGGTTTCAGTTTCTAAAGTTTACACAAATGTTACAGTATTAACAGTCATACTGTATGTAACACAGATACTGTATACATTAATAATGAAAATCTAACTTAACATGAAATATATATCAGTTTACTAAGATGGCCAAATTCTAATAAGCTTTCAATGCTTTCAAAGGTCAATTCATAAGAGATGATAAAGAACAACCCTTATACCACAAATACACTCAGAAACAATAACAAACATAAAAACAAACGTATCTTCTTAAAGGAATTGTGCTATAAATCCTTATGTCAATTTTGTTCTCAATCTGAATTAAAAATAAGCTCTTAGGATAATAGAAAAAATGGGAATGTCATAATGCTAACATCTTTAAAGCACCCCCAGTGCCATTTAAATGACCTATTTAAGCTCATGACCATTTTGCAAGCCCTCAATGTTTGGGTAAAGAAATCCATCTACTTTACCTTTACTTTCTTGGAACACTTCACACATTGCAGTTCAAACCAAAGATTAGCTAAGTTGTGCCAGCACACACTATAGAGTCTTTTCCAAGGAAACCAAGTGAGATTTTGATATGCCAAAAAGTCTAATTTCACAGCAATAAAATGATTTTGCAGAATATTGTTTAGATTTGTGAAAATTAATGACAATAGCAAGCTCTGTGTTTTCCTTAAAGCAGCACAGCAAATTAGAGTTATGTGTTATTCAAGAATTAGTGGGATGAAAGATTTTTCTCAGGCTATTTCCTGCTAAATACATTACCAGATGCTGCTATGCCCATATACGCCTGTAGACTAATGTTGGTGTAAATGATTAGGCACTTATTGAACCAACACGAAGAAATGTGCTGTGGGTTGTTGCTTCAAAATGTGTGATAAACATTTTGCTAATTTGGATGCATGCTAGAATTATATAAAAAATATTTGGAAAATATAATAAAATATTAATACAAGTCATAGATTCCCTTGGACTCCTCAGTGTTTTACAGATATGTTCAGTCAAGAATATAAGATACAGTAATAGCATACAGCTTATGTGGGCATTCCCACTGTTTTAGGGATTAACTGAATACTGCACATTCCAGATGAACTCTTAATTTAACGTAATTTCTATACTGAGCTAATATACTATATATCTAATTATACAAGTAATAGGTTTATTCCATGCTGAAAAAAAGAAGAAAGAGAACACAACGTTTCGGCCGTGGAGCCTTCTTTAGGTGTGGGAGAGACAGGGCAGTCTTAATATGTTATTATACTTTGAGCCTCTGCTGACAAAGAATTTAGTATCTGGACCAGCCAACGTATCTTGCCTACAGAAGCCCTACAGTATATAAGATTTCAAGCCAATTGGCTTAATTTATCACCATCAACACTTATTATTATTCCTGAACTGTATATATTCATACTATGTAGCTGATTCGTACTTTGAATACCATCTTTGTACAATAATTATACAGTTGTTGTTTTTTTCTTCCCAAATTTCACTGCGCCAAAACAAGCAAAATCTGCTTTCTGGTAAAAACAAACCTAACCAAACGTGACAAAAAAGAGGATGTGATTCAGATCCATCTTGCTTGCTTGGTTACTAGTTGCTAATTTATGTCAGAGGACCTCAGCTTTTCCTTAGCATGCTTCAATGTACAGTATCTGGCAGGGTTATTCTGCACACTCACACTTTTGTAAAAAAAATGCTTTGTATTCTCAGTCATAAATACACTGTCTCTTAAATTAATTGGGCCAAAACCCACATACCGTATATTCAATTACACAAAAAACACATTTGTGCATGTGGTTCAGTTTAATAATAATAACAACAAACTTTCTGATCAAAAGTTTCTTACTTCTTCCTATTGTACTTAAAGGCATTCTGTTATCTAAATTAATCAATTGGCTACAAAAGCAATAAATGTACAGTATTTTTTAACACTTTCATTGTCATTTCACAGGTTGTTCAGAATGTTCATTGCCAAAATTAAGACTTTTCCTACATGGTAAATCACCAGTTCCATTTGTTGATTAAACAACTGGATGTTTCCTGGCTCTCTAAGGCACATCAAGTTGATTTCATGATTTGTACTTGGCAGAACACAATGACTCAGACTCATATGGGTCTCAGTCAACCCACTTACTGTACCTGCACCAGACAACCTTATTGTTTGAATTCTGAGCCTGGCTATGAGAATTCACATTTTCCTTTCTTTGTCATACATATGCAGAGAAGTGAAGCTTTCATAAGGAAAATAAATGTTGCAATGAAAATCTGTTGTGATGGAATCCCTTTGGCCTATGTACAGTAAGACAAAGCTACCACTGGTC